CCTTATACATCCTTCCACAACCAAAATCAAGCATACTATCACAAGGGACCAAGTTCCAAAAAAGGTCTTAAGAGCATAGTGAGCAAGATTAACTTAAAAAATGCTCACCAACGGCAGATAACAGGAACTAACTGAATTACTATCTCATCAAAGCGGATCAGAAAATTCAAGCAACACAAATCAGAATCGTCCCTTGCATAACCCCATCACTCGTCTCACCACGGTTCTAAATCCATTAACTAGCCAAGTTCAAAACATATCCTAGGTATTCACTTAAACCTAGGCTCTCACATCACAAAATCTTAATCAAACCTAAGCTCTGATACCACTAAATTTGTCACGCCCCAGAACCCAAATCCGGGGACGCAACAGACGCCGTGCACTCATGAGACGGATCCCGCAAGTGCACAAGGCTCGGAACTAATTCAAATCACAACCTGATACCACAAAATCTCAAGATAAAATTTTACAATCTGCTCTGATATCATAAAATCTCCACATACACTCTAGCTTGCAAGAGCATGATATATTTCTAAATCTATATCAATCTCGAAATGGCTAGCCTTCTAACTCGTCACTCCCCTTGGTTTCCCCGTCCTCAGTTTCGTTTCTTGAAATGGTGGACAAGGGAAACTATGAGATAACTCAGTAAATAAATATGGATAGCCCTTGGGTAAAACTTTTAGCATGCCAGATAAACAGTTTCATATAACAGAACGTTCAATGGTAAACCTTTAATGCAGAATCAAATCGGTTCAGTTGCAAAACATTCAATGACAAACCGTCAATGCAAAATCAGATTCAATTTAATAACAAAACGTTTCATGACAAACCATTAAAACAGAATCAGATTCATTTCAATATCAAAGCCTTCGTGACAAACCGTTAATACAGAATAAAACTCAGTTCAGTAGTCTCACCTATAAGTCATGGCCAGCGTTTATAAACCTCCCACTGGCGGGCACAGTAGTTGCCAATGTTTAACCCCATAGGCAAGGTTACAGAAGTGCCAGCATTTAACAACTCCCACTGGCAGGCGTCAGTAATGGTGCCAGTGTTTACAACTCCCACTGGCAGGCGACAGTAATGGTGCCAGTGTTTACAACTCCCACTGGCAGGCGACAGTAATTACCAATGTTTAACCCCATTGGTAGGGTGAATCGGTTCCATCAGTAAACATGTCGACATGTGCTAGCGTTTATAAACCTCCCACTAGCGAGCACAGTAATCAGTAATCATGACTATATCCGAGACAAAACCATGCAGAGCTTACAGAAAACCCGAATTTCACAATCAATCCCAATTTCAGAAATAACCAGAAAAATTCCATGTGGGCATGGATTTATCAGAAAACTCAAAATTTACAAACTCTCAGTTCATCAAAACAGTTCAGTCAATTCCAAATAGGCATGCTGTACTCAATACCAATGAAAACAGTTTCATTTCAAACCAATCATGCTCGGTGCAATAAATCCAGAAAAACAATGAAATTCTCACTTTCATTCCAAACATGTTCAATTCCAAAAAACAGTGAAATTCTCATGAAAACCATCACAATTTCCATTTCAGTTTAATCACATTCATATGCTAATAAAATCAATTTAAAATCACTTTAAACCTTGCCACCATCTCAAAAACAGTTTAAAACATGCTTTAAAATCGAAGAACTTTACCATAATTTACTTACCTCACTCACACAGAACAGAAGGCTAACCCAAGTGCTACGGTGACAGAACGATCAAAACCTAATCAAAACACCTCAGAATCAATACCGTACAACCACAAATTCACAGTAAAATCATCATCAGCACTATCCCTAATCACAGTGCTATTTCTATCAATCTCCACATAACCAGACATCTCCAAATTCATTCTTATATCACAAACTAAACCTTTAAATCCCCGTTAATCATTAACCCTTGGTGTGTGAACAGTATCCGTGAACAGTACCCGTGAACAGTGACCTGCAGTGAACAGTGACTGCAATCCTCCAAAATAATCTCACGGGTTTTCTCCAAAAATCACAACAGGCCAAATCAAGCTAATTTTCTACATAAACCACACTTAAAAACATAGCTTAAAGCTACCCAAAATTCATTCCTATTTCCCGGACAAGCAATGGAGACCCACGGCTTTGGCCAACAATGGCTAAGTCACGGGATTACTCCTACACAACATCACAACAGCCCAATTAAGCTAATTCTACATAAACCAAGCACAAAAACACATTTAAATGCTACCGGAATTCCCCCATTTTCCAACAAAATTCGGACAAGCACAAGGCAGCACTTAGTGGACAAAACCCAACAATTAAATGGGTAATTTTAAGCTTGGAAAAGCCGACAACTTACCAGAATTTTCCAGCAAGAACCGAAGCTGCAGGGGGGAAGAGGCCGGCGGGAATTTTCTGTAGGGGACTCACGGCTCTACCAGAAATTGGAAGGGAATAAAGCAATTAAAGTAAACCCAACCTAAATCAAGGTTAGAGAGAGGGATTCATGGCTAGATCTTACCAGAAAAAGGCCCAAACTCTCACACCCACATAGCAGCCGGCGGACAAAGGAGAAGAGCAGAGCAGGACCAGGATTTTATAGGTTGAGGGAGAAGATTCTAAGCCCCAAATCTTGTGATTGAACAAGAAAGAAGGAGAATTTCAAGCCCCTTTTTCAGTTTTCAAAGGAAGAGGAAGTCGGTGGCTTTGGGGGGTTTGTCAGGCTGCACAAAAAAGAAGAGCAAAGCAGAAACGTGTATGGCTGGGAAGAAAAGGAATGAAAATATCAGCTGATCCTTATCCTAATTTCCTTTCTTTTTAACCCCTCAACTTTTTAAAATTTTGCGATTAAGCCCCAAAACAATATTTTCCCTCATATAAGTCCCTTATTTAATGCTAAAATATCCCCAAAATTTTGGGATATTACAT